AGTCAAATCAGCTCGGATCAACCTACTTTAATCATGGAAATGAATGTCTAGAGCAGGGGCATCGTTCCCATGCAGTGGATCTCGCAACAATGATGATTGGATAAAAGCGGCCGTTAGCTAGCAATACATGCCTGTTCCTAGATGATCCATAAAGTAATTATACATTGACCCTTTCATTCATGCAAACGTAGCTGTGTTACACAACACAACCCTCTGAATCTTTTGCTCTGTCAGGGTCCAGCGACTTGACAATGAACAAAGACCACTCTTCATATAGCATCACGCTTACAAATATAAAGGTGCCTGTATCTCCAAACTTTACAATGAAACGTGGGGTTTTTATTACAGCAATGGGCTCGGCTTGGCCAACAGCACCTTGTGTGAAAGTTTCGCGTTCAATGTCGCAACTAGCCCAAAAAATATTTTTTTGGTCGTCGTCGTCGAAGAGGACGACCCCCAGATCCAGTCTGGCTGGTAGCGACATTGCGAAATCTGGGATTGGCCACGATGAACTTCATACTTTGACACAAGATCGCTCTGACTCCGCCGAGCAACGTTGTCCTCATAGAGACCCCACATTTGATTGTAAAGTTTAGAGATACAGGCACCTTTATATTTTACATATGCTGTAAGCGTGATGCTATATGAAAAGAGGTCTTTGTTCATTGTCAAGTAGTATGACTATAATAGAGCCAAAGATGCAGAGGGATGTGTTGTGTAACTTGAGTCAATCAGCACAGGCGATGCATGATACTTGTACACCATTTAGGTGTAGTTCCTAAAGCCAGCTAATAACCCAGTCCTCCCATTCTCCATTGTTGCCCAATCCAATGCATGTGAACGATTGTGCTGCTCCAGTACAGCATGCCTATCATTCAACTTTCTTGATTCGAGGGGATTTGATTGAACAACGCTTGTACAAAGAAACATCATCCAAAACATCAGAAAAACCTATTTGATTTGATTTCCAGTTCTTCCACTCCCACCTTATTTGCCTCTTCTTCCCATTCTCAACTGCTGGCCCATTCAAGTACAACTCCACTGCGAACGATTGTCCTGCTTCAACCCATCATGTCAATCCTACAACCACCTTGATCCGATCGTCTTTGACCGAATGGCAAGTTCCATGACGTGTACACAGCCTTCTTGTCACTCTACTACAACACACGAGTCTCTTGACACAATACGAGCTCTTGCATATTCCTCTACCACGATCAAACGCAACAGCATTCATTGCAGCAGTTACCATTAGCAATGTCGTTGTCGTTACTCCATTGTCTCAAACAGCACTCTTCACTTGCAGCAGCGCGTCTTACAGCCTTTTCACGTGGACAGCAGATAGCGATCATATAGAAGCAGCTTTATTTACGTGTAGCAACATGCTTCAATACATACGACTTCTTATGGATATGGATATGAGTACTGCATTAGTTTGGCAAATGAGATGGAAAGAATGGATCTATTGACTGGTTTGGTTCCCTTGGCCCATTCAGAACCTGATGTCTAGTTTGGACGGCACTATATCAGTCATCAGCTACACCGCAATACAAGGAACCTGCAGCTAGTAGAGCTGCGATGGAAAATGACCCACAAAGTGAGAGGCCAAGGCCCGGATGGGAAAAGGAAACATATCAACAGCAACCTCTCGGTCTTCTTTCGATCAACATATTGGATTTGGAATGTTTATGGTGGAGGGATTCAATCAATGCAGTGATGACGATCATGGTGATTACTTGTCGTGTTGGTAGCAAGGATGGTGGATCAAATTACATGTACTGCTGAGGATGATGGATGGGATGGAGTTGACGAAAGGTGTTTACAGGCATGGATGATATTGGATTGCTCGAGTCAACGCATGCAACAGCTTTTTTTGCAATCATGGAAGAAGGTGTTTACTGCAGCCACTATGAATACAAATACGCATCCCTCCCGGTTGTCTCCATGTGATTCACCCCCACCCCGTATCTTATCTTATTCAATTTGCAATGTTGTTTCTTCATCTATTTACTTCATAAACATCCACACTGCAATGTGCTATTCTCGACTTGTATTGAATGAAATTTGGATATAGAATGGTATCGTGCGTATCAGCTTGCATGTGCAGGATGGATCACTTAGTTTCTTCTGGATTGAAGGGGGAAGATTAGACCAATTTACGGTCGAAAAGCGGGATCAGATCATTTACATCCTTATATGTATCATTCGTTAAAGCTTCCTATTTCACATTCTGATAGACGAAATACATCGTAAAGCCTCGATCACTTGTGTTGCAAAGATAATAAATTCGATAGTATTAATGCCCAGCGATACCTCTTGCAAAGTACATACAAAGCTTGGTTCATTGTCAGCTCAATTCATTATACCCGCAGGCATACAAAAGACGATGTTATCACCATTACTCAAATGAGCTTCCATGATATAGCTTTTCAAACAACGACGGCGACAGCAACGGGTAGCATCTTCTCCTCAACCTGCTGTGGCCTTTGATGATCTTACCAATGGTGGCACCATGGCCATGGGTGACAAGAAAGTCGATGGCAGCAATTTGTATTTGGAGTTATAGTTTAGTTGTAGTGGCTATCAGTATACGACTGACGAGTGGTGGTCAATACTTGTACTACTTGTCATCTTTCCATTTGTATGGTCACATCATTTTCAATAACTCTATGATTATCTACTATTGGATCCTTGTCTGCCGTAACATGAAAAGTGAGGTTTAAGAAAGGGAATGTTATGATGTCGATAATGCTGAGTATGCATGAATACCCGGTACAGCATGCTTGTTTACGTGCTAAATGCAATCACTCTCTAAGCAACAAGAGTCTCGCCCAATCCCTGCATGTCATATCATTTCTTGTTGCACACCACCTTGAAACGGAGAACAATGAGATTGCTGTCGGCGGTGGTGGTGGTGGCCTGTGTGTGCAGGCCCCGACAATGTATCCTTTTCATGCAAGAGGAGCATGAGAGTTGTTGTTGTCTAGTATTCTAAATAAAAGCGCAAAGTCCTTTCTTTATCCAATCTCAAATGATGCGAGATGGCAAGTTCAATGTATGGGGGATAACGGAACGACCGAGAAAAATGGGAAGCCCTGGCATTTCACGTGAGACGTGGCACAAATAGCGATAAAGTGAGCTCTTGCAGCTCTTGTCACCCCTTCTTCCCTATTTTGATTCCCTTTCTCTCGTTTTCCCCCCAACCCACATACCCCCTCACCCTCCTCATTGTCATGCTGGCGGATGCATATGGTAATGAAACGTTTCAAGCACTTGGTCAATATGCTCACTCGTTGCAGACTTTTTATTAAAACTACTTCTTGTCGGCGACTCTGGTACTGGCAAGTAAGTCTATCTATCCTATACACACATACGCACGCACACGTTGTAATGGACTTGGCTCACTCTTTTATTGCCCATTTAGATCCTGTCTCCTCCATCACTTTCTTGAAAACCAGTGTATGTATATTCCCGGGACGTTATGGTTCTTGTACGATGCTCAACATGGACACACCACACCCTCCTCTTTCTTAGTCAAGAAGGATTCCGTAAACACAATCGGTATGGAATTTGGAACACGTATTGTACACATCGCCGACAAGTCGATCAAGCTTCAAATATGGGACACTGCTGGACAGGTATATGGGAGAATGCTATTTGGGTTAGGTAAATGCATGGTGGGATACTGATGATGGTTACCTAGGAACGGTTTCGGCAAGTGCAACAGCAACCAAGCACAAAATACGGCATCTGATGGATTTCTTTCTGCAGATCATTAACACGAAGCTACTTTCGCGGTGCAGCGGGTGCGCTGGTAGTATACGATATTTGCAAGTAGGTATGATGAATCGGGGTAGAGAGAGAGGAGGGTGTTGGAAGGATGGTGGGATGAATGGCGACATGCATGAATGAATGATATGAAGGCTGACACACACACGCTTCGTTTTATCTTTATAGTAGAGAGACGTTTCTCGGTGTACGATCATGGCTAAAGGATGTGCGTACGTTGGCCAATCCAGAATTGGTGATGATCCTCGTTGGCAACAAAGTAGACAAGGCAGATGATGAACGTGAAGTATCTTATCTGGAAGCGAGCCGATTCGCTCAAGAAAATGGTATGTGTAGTAGATGCGAATAGAAAAGAAAAGCATGTAATAATAACATTTACGTTTACAGAAATGATGTTCCTGGAAGCAAGTGCATTGACGGGAGATGCAGTGGAGGAGATGTTTTTCAAATGTGCACGATCCATTCTCAGCAAAATTGAAACGGGCAAGTATTATTATTATTGTGTTGGGAAATGTCATGTCAACAAGGTTGAATAATGCATACGTGTATATAGGACAAATTGATCCAGAGCGAAGTGGGAGTGGAGTACAATTTGGTGACTCGAGTCTAAGGCGAATGACACAACGTACACGTACCAGGAGGAAGGAGCGATCATCATGCTGTTTTTGAAAGAATCCTTTATATGAATGTGAATACAATGTATCAAGTAAATATATAAAATAAGTTATCGTGGAATGCAAGGAAAGGGCTGTGTAGTAGTTTGGGGGGGGAGAGTTAATGGGGGAGATCAGACAGCGGTAAGAGGGACGTGTGTGTGTGTGTGTGCACAATGAGAGTAAGAGAAGAGCACAATATTGGGTGGATGTTAAGAATAGCAAGGAACATTATTGGGACTATATCCTTTCGGCATAGACTGTTAGTTTCCCGAGCTTGATAGCAGACGCAAATGCATCCTCCATGTCTGTTTCAGTTTCCAAAGGCAAGCTTTGACCCGACGTGTCATCCTTGTAACGTAATGATACTGGGAAACCAAGGCGATCCTTCACCTTTTCATGCAATTGTTCAAGCGTGCTATCAGCTGGCACCTTGATGGCGAAAATATCATCCTTGTGGGCAATCTTTAGCTTCACTGTGCCAGTAGATGTGGCTGCTCGAGGTGTGCTTGTACTACTGCTAACGGTGGTTGTCGGGGCAACAGCAGCAGCAGAGGTGGTCGTTGGTGGTTGTGGAGGTGGTGCTTGAGTTGATCCATTGTCATCTTCAGTGGGTAACAAGCATTGATCGGTTTCAATATCTCCTTCATGAATGCCAAAAAGCTGACTCTGCACCAACGAACTTTCAGCCAAATAGCGTGGAAGACTTAATAGCTCGGCGCAATATTTGTTCAAGTCCCTTTGTCGTTCGGCTATCACAAATGGGATCAGCAACTCGGGTCCTAAGGCTGATAACCTTTTATGCCCATTGTATAATTACCAGTAATATCCTCATCCACATCTGTCAATGGTCCTGGCATGTAAGGCAGTATTCTTTCTCGATCCTCCTTGCCCGCTTCGACTGGGAAATCGTTGAGCAAATTGATTTGGAAATCATAGAAATCTGTTGGGTTTGGTTTGGGTTAGATAAACATTGGGTATTGATGTACTCTTTAACACTTGCCTTCATACAATCGATAAAGAACACGATGTCGACCATTATTCAACCTTGCATACACAATGAACCAATATTGGTCACCCTCAAGAATATACGAATCAATCTTGGCTTCTTCGACAATAGCACTTGTAGGATGTTGCATAGCCATATTATCTTGAAAGCTGTCGGGATGATCATCATGTTGTGGACGTGCGGATGTGCCGGATGAAATGGATGAACCAGCCGAGATACTAGATGCTTCGTAACCTTGAGTCATCTTCTTCCATTCTTCAACTGGCGGTATATTGGATGGCGGTTGTCCAACAGGTCGACCGGTTAATGCATCTCGCACCTCGACAAAGGATACTGGGATCAATCCAGGTCCACCAAGGCGTCCGATGGGTTTGGCGACAAACCATTCAACGTTGGATTGAGCAATGACAATGATAGGTTCACCCGCTTTGGCATCCAGCTCGTCGGATCGTTCTGCTTGGAAATCATACAACACGACACCGTACAGGGGTTGCATCTTTTTCGGTCCACCACCAATGCTTCCACTGCTGCTGCTACTAATGCTGCCGTTTCCTGGATCTAATCGTTGATGTCGTTATGAATAAAGGAATCCAATAGACGTTTTCTCTACTTACTTGGAGATGTTGTATTGCCGTTGTTATCAAGGAAACCTGAATCAGCTTTTTGCTGTGGAGGTGGTGCTACAGCAAGGTTGCGTTCAGACTTGTCGAGCACCTGGAAATAGCTGACAGGGACAATGCCTCTCGAATTGGTTGCCGGGTTACATGCTTCAAACCATTGGTCGTCATTTTCTCGGCCGATAACGTGAAAAAAGTCGCCTCGTGCAAATGAAAGCTCATGTGCTCGTTGTGCTTGATAGTCGTACAATGCCTTGATGATCTTTTTAGGTGCTGCTATTGCGCCTTGTAATGCAGTAGGTGCGCTAATGGGTGTAGAGATCTGATTCTTGACGAGCGATCGACGTGCTGATCGTAAGTTGCGAGGCGGTTTGACTTTTTCTTTAGAAAGATACATGGTTTCAAAACGAGAAGAATAGCCACGAGGATAAAAAGAAGGGGGGAGAAATCACAAGGATTGGAAGAGGGAGGGAGGGGGGAAGTAAAAAAAAAGAGTGAAGAGGAAGTGAGAAAGAAGCTTTTTGGATTGAAATGAGTGGGAGCAAGTACAAATCGATTGTTCACAGACGCCCAATTCCAATCTCCTTGTAACACACACTTGTGCTCTCGAGATTCATTAAACTTTCCTTCTTTCTGTGTCACGTGTTATATAACTATTAAGCTTGCTCTCTCTATCTATTGTAAGCACATGTATACTATCAGGAGAAAAGTGGCTGTGGTGGCAGTAATGGATGGTATTGCTATGTTTGTTGATGAGACGATCAAAGTAAAACATTGCTGTGTGCACGGCATTGTGTGTTGGGGGTATTTTAAGGTTGTTTCAATCTAGCATCATGTTGCTTATTGACTGAGATGTACAGCCACATGACATAGTATAATGCTATTATAGGTATTTAGGGTCCTGGTTAAACATTACCCAGTCTCCTTGCTGCTGCTAGTATCGCATGCCTAATTCTTTGTCAGCTAAACGGTTGAATAATGATTTGCATCATGCACTCGAAAAAAGACCCTCAAACCTAAATGCATAGCACTCATCTTTATGGCGTAGCAAATGGAAGCTAAAGTATATACCAAGATCAGTAAATCAGCAACCTTGGATCAAAAATGACAGAGAAGATGAACGGATTGCCCTATCATTTTACCACGTGGAATTCAATGTCAATACTGTAAACGAATCTGTTTATTAAGTATAGGTACAGGGTTGTTTCATTGTTTATACACAGATTGTAAAGGAATCATAGTCTAAGGCACTTGATCTTCAAAAAGTCACAAATTTGATTGATCACGCCGCGAACGAGCATAGCGTATTGGATACCGGAGATGGCCAAAAGTGCCTTGAGTAAAGCAAGATGATTGATATCCACTACCCTAATAAGCATGTCAATACCCTTGCATATAGCACCCAACATCCTGCATCTTACCCTTCCGAATAAACATCAGCATAGGCAGCAAGGCACCCAAGGGCAAGGATCAAGTAAACGGGAGTATTCCAATACGGGAAAGAAAGCTTTGCTACGTGTGCCGTAATCATGAGTCCCAATTGGTGTCCAAACAATAATCCAAGCATGAAAATGAACCAAGTCAAATGCTCATGTACTATATCTGGCCACAGGTGCATCCAATAAAGAGAAGTTGACATGATATACACAAAAGGAAAAAGACCGGCGAGGGCTTTGAGAACACTCCGATCTTCATGCGAGTGGTCAGTAGGCTTGAATTTGATAATGATCACATTCAGCAATCTATGCATGATATCCATCAGCTAAACCAAAGACAATGAATATATAACGTTCATTCACTTACGCAGCAAAAATGTTGTACAAAAGCACAATGGCGCCAAAAATAATCAATACATGATTCAACTGCAGCCCGCCAACGATGCGTTTCCATGGCTCCGTAGCCCACTGGGTGATGGGTAATATTTCAGCGATCCGTAATGTCCAAAATGCGGGACCTATCACAAAGGTTAGGATATAAAAGGTAAAGATTGTTGCAATGATGATGATGATACTTGCCAAAATAACCCGAAATCAACTGAACGCCCACCAGCATCAGCACACCTTCCACAGGACCACTAAAGTATCCAAGATACAGGACTCCGGTATGGTACTCCTCCCAAGTGGATAGATAAAAGTTTCCAAGACTTGCGCACAAAGAAGTTACAGTCCACCAGCTCTGGCCAAGATACGTGGCGGATGCCCATGTGAGACAACCCAACATTGTGTTTAATGCATCGCATCCTACCAAAATGAACCATCATGAGACCATGCAATGCCCCATGAACACACACACACACACACACCTTTCGCTGGTTGTCTTACCATGATCAAAGAGCTCCCCAAGGGGTCCTGATGATCCAGTCCTTCGTGCCTGTTTGCCATCGATTGCATCCAACGATTGATACATGAAGAGACCCAATCCAAATCTATGACAAGACATGAATTTCAAGCAATGGAATCAAGTAGTAGTAGAATACTTTACGTGTAATAGACCCAATTAGGGCACGGACCAAGGTCGGAGGTGTAGTAAAAGAGCGTTGCTACGTTGGCCACCACGCAAAGCAACCCAAGAAGTGTAATCATGTTTGGACTAGACGTGCAATGTCAATATCGATATCCATTCACAGGCGGGGGGGTTGATAGTGGGTTGCATTACACATGCGATGCTTACGCGATCCAAAGGGGGAAGATCTTGACAAGGTTGTTCCAATATGGAGTAAGGACATAGCGGGACACCAGCGACTTGTCGACTCCACCATACTTGTAACGTCGTAGATTCGGCAATTCCTGGGGAGGAATGTAGCTCATGATGAGGACCAAGGATAAAGAGGCGGATGTGTTGGGAAGAGGGTGAGAAGAAACGACGTGGGTTGGGAATCCCCTTGTATGTAAAATCGATCCAGCTAAAGAAATGATATGGATGCCCCACACACGCCCCCAACCCAGCCCTTTTATTCATGCATCAGAGCTGCTGATAGTTGCACCATGGTACAAAGCAACCATTTAAGATCATGAATGATACACAGAGTACTCGTCATTTGAAGAGATCATCACCCTTGACAACCAACCAACCACCCACACTTTTCTCTCTCTTTCATTCAGGAACCAGCCATGTCAACAACCAAACAAAGAACGATGATAATGTTTACATTAGCAGATATGTACATCATACGTATACTACACCCAATCCTTTGATTCATCTTACATGTCATGGAATAAACTAGTGTTTGTTTGATCTTAGATGGTATGTAAGATGGGGTTTGATTGATGGATCCACGTGCACTATGTCAGGTGTAATGTTTACATGCACGCCTCCTCCTCTTCCTCATGTTCCACAGAACCGACGTGATAGTATGGATGATGACTACTTTTTCTTGTCCATGGAAACCTGGGTTTATGAATGTATTTTAGGATGAGGGAGTATTCACATGAAAGAGCAAATGGATGTTTGTCATAATAAAGAAAAAGTGGTGTGTTGTTGTAGTAGTCAATGAACCCAGCCATGGCAACAAGGAGGAGGAGAACCGTGCGAGAAGGGAGCTATGCGGGAGTTGAACCAACAATATCAAAGTTGCATTCATCCCAGCCTTGTGCCCTCTCTTTTTTTTCTTTTTCCTTCTCGGTTGCCCTAAAACAGCATGATCGGTAGTGCACGTTGCATCTTCTCAACAGCCTATAAATATCGCCTTACACACCCAACGAGATCTTTCTTTCTTCTTTCCACAAGACGCATGTTATCCACCACTATCAATAAGGAACGCGTGAGCATCATTGGCTCTGGCAACTGGCAAGTATTGTCATCATCATCATCCATCCCATTCTTCTTCTTTTATTGATAATGTTGTATGCTATAGGGGTTCTGCTGTAGGCAAAATCATTGGTCAAAATGTATTGAAGCATAAAGATGTCTTTGATACGGAGGTGCGGCAATGGGTGTTTGAAGAAACATTCCAGGGCGAGAAATTGACCACGCTCATCAATCGAGATCATGAAAATCCAAAGTAAGCAATACATTGCATGAATAGAATAAACGGCTCGTAGGCTGACCTGCTGCATAAAAGGTACTTACCAGGCATCAAGTTTACTGATAATATCAAGGCCACACCGGATCTCTTGGAAGCATGTCGAGACGCAACCGTGTTGGTCTTTGTACTCCCACACCAGTTTGTTAGAGAAGTGTGCGAAGACTTGGCCGGCAAGATCGCTCCCAATGCAAGAGCCATCTCACTCATCAAGGGACTTGAAATCAAGCCTGATCAGGTAGTCTTGTTTTCAGAAGAGATCGCCAAGCGACTAGGTCTTCGAGTGGCTGCCCTGAGTGGTGCCAACATTGCTGATGAAGTGGCTCAAGAAAAATTCTGTGAGACAACGATTGGATGTACCTCGGAAGATGGCGACCTGTTTTTCAAGCTATTCAACACGCCATACTTTCGCGTCAATGTGATACAGGATGCTGTGGGTGTCCAGCTATGTGGTGCTCTCAAGAATGTTGTCGCTGTGGGTGCTGGCTTTTCAGATGGTTTGGGGTAAGTAGAGTCAATGATTGGATGCGTGATGAAACGTATTGGACAATCCAAACGTTGGGTCGTTGAGCTACTATTGTTGGGGTGGAAAAGAGAGTTGAGTGAGTGAGTGAGGGAGGGAATGAGAAACAAGGTGCATGTTACTCAAAGATGGCATCTTTGATCAGGTACGGAAGCAACACCAAAGCAGCCATTATACGACGCGGTCTTTTAGAGATGCGAAAGTTTGGTCAGACCTTTTTCGGCACCGTCGAGAATGAAACCTTTTTCGAATCATGTGGTGTGGCAGATTTGATCACTACTTGTGCTGGTGGGCGTAATCGAAGAGTTGCTGAGGCTTTTGTCAAAACCGGTAAACCCATCGATGTATTGGAACAAGAGCTCCTTCACGGCCAAAAATTACAAGGCACTTTAACAGCCAAAGAGGTCCATGATTTCCTCGCACCACGTGGTCTCGTCGATGAATTCCCCCTTTTTGAAACCGTTTATCGTATCTGCTATGAAAACGCACCCATAGAAAGCATTGTACGTGATATTTAAAAAGCAAATTCATATCTTTGTTGTCATTCGATTTATTACATGAATACATCGTGAATAAGTAAAAAGCAAATAGTGGGTCATCTACATTAGCTATATGCATCAAGCATGAGCTTTGGTAAACATGATATCTAATAACTTGGGGTAATGATGAAGGAAAAATTGGGTAGTTTGCACAATCTTGTCCCATCGGCTTGCAGTGATATCGGTTTCGGGTGTTTCGGTGGATGTAGTAGATGAAGATGATGATGATGATGTATTTTGAGATGAGGAGGAGCAATGGGTATTGTCACCTTGTTGTCCTTGTAGTGGTATAACTTTTGCGTAACCCTGGTGGATTTCCAAGGTTGCCAGCGGGCCATCATCGCATGCAAAGAGGTTATGGTGTGTTTTGTATGCTCCTGTACTTGATGCAAGCTCAATTTCAATGATGATACTATTGTCGTCGTCGTGTAGCATGGCGAGTGAAGCAAATGATTTGGGAGGTTCTTGTCGAAGAGCAACGTTTCGGAAAATCAGGGATAAAAGGACATTTGAAATCATAAGAATGAGCCAGAAAACTGTTTGGTGTTTGAGAAAACGCCGTTTACGATCATGTTGTTTGGGTGTTGTTGGTACTGATGATGGGATATTATCAGCTGTATGTGGTGGATGATGGCAACATTCGTTCATAGGTTCCTTTTTGTCTTGAGGTATGGAAGATTGCTGATGCAAAACCCCGAGCACTGTACGTCGTTCCAAGGCAATAAATTGATCGATTGACAAGATAAGAAGAGGTTGATCTTTGAATTGGGTAGCAAAAGATGGCATGGGACCAATATCAAGCAGCATTGGGAATTCCACACATTGCACTCTGTAAAGCGTGAGCATATCAGCAAGTTGAATGCGTCTATCAACCACACCAACACCACTATCATCATCCGAGATTGCAGCACTTGTAAGAAGGGGAAGGATAGGTACACCCAATTTCTGAATCTCCCATAATGTAGCCATGTCTTCCTCAACCACAGCATTATACTGCCGATCTTCAAAAAAGTAAAAGCATAGATCAACTTGCTTCTTTCCAGCAAAGGTAATAAACTCATCCTCATCATCCTCATGCTCTTCCTCATCTTTCATATCAACCATGGACAATCCATTGTTGCTCAATCCTTGGAGCTGTCGCACATAAGGCAGAGCCTGTTTGCGTCTTCCAGTTGACCATGTAAAGTCTGCTTCAATGATGGAGAGACCACTGTCTTCATACGCATCCACAATGGTATTATCACTTTCTTCCCCAGCCATTAACCTTCTAATGTGTCGCTTTCTCTCCTTGAACACGTTGCAAGGTGTATAATCGTGACAAAGCATCAGCGTTTGAGCAACTTTGGAGAAAACCAAGTGCTTGTCACTGGATGATGCAGCTCCCATATACATTGCTCGAACACATGTCTCTTGATGCTCAGCTGATCTTGATTGTTGTATTGCTTCACTATCTTCAATGGCATCCATCTCTTGTTCAAGCCGCTCTCCAAACACATCCAATAATTCACTGGTTGACTTTTCATCCATAACAGACTCCAGTAATGCCTCGTCATCAAGCGAAGAATAACTTTCATGCCGTTTCAATGACTTTTTTGTGGTTGTACTCTCACTTTCATGCGTCGCTGGAGGAGGTAACGGTGTGGGTTTGGTCATTGAGTTGGTGTCATGAGCAGCAAAGAGACCGTCATCAGAAGACCGCTCATTAGCACATGTAGTTGAGCTTGGAATCAATGGTTTTCGTTTCCCGTAGCTACGAGGGCTCGAGGAGGTTGACAGCATATTGGCGAAAAAAAACTGGATACAAACAAAGAAAAGATGGAGGGAAAACCCGGGTGAGAATGACCTGGTGATAAATAAGGCGCTGTGGGGCTGCTGCGGTGGGTCACGAGGAATTTCCTAAAATGGATCAAGTTGCCACGACAACCAGGGGAGGTTCCCTTTTGACACCTTGGATGAGCCAATGTACAACGTATTTCCCCGCATTCTGCATATCACGTCATCTCCAATACTCCAGCACACACACACATTTAATTCTATATATGTCAATCCAAATCATAAATAAGCAATTCCCTTCATTACAATGTTACTTTTGGGCATCAGATGTCACGTTGATACTTGCAAGTTGGTGATTCAAGTGGTAAATGATGTAGCTTTTTATAGCAATAGATGTGTTGTTTGTCTCCAAGGGTGATCCGCAGCAGCGTGAAACCACCATTTCTCCTTTCTTGGTCAATGATAATTGATCCCAGGTTGCATAGATGGGAGATACATGCAGGAAATGCATACGCTTTGATAGATTATCGAGACACTGTATCACGGTGCTTTAGTAATAAGGATACTACGCTTGCTATATATCTTTTTGGAAGCATAGTAATAAAAGAAGTCATTAGAAGGCACTCAGCTGCTGTACCAACTCTTCAATAAGATGCAAACTGTGGATTTTCATTACGCGCTTGCAGCAGGTTAGTATACAATGCAAGCGCTTCACTTTTATGATAGAAGAGCGGTGAATAAGGAAGGCCATAGATGTATCGTGAGTAGTAATGGGTCCCATTAAAGGATATCTCAATCATATGGTATACTCAACAAATGCTTCAAGAAGTGACCTTTTCCAATGCTCTTTTATTATGCAACAATGTTAAACATGCTATGTATGCCCTATCGTAGGGGTCCATATTTCATTGAGCTGTATGTATCCAATCAAGAACGGTGTGTTAGAGAGGGATGATAGGTGTATGCTTTTCTCCAAATGATAGATGTGGTCCTATTCCCAAGCAGCGGTGACAGAATTTCAGTGGTTGCTCGCTTCTTCGCTGTGTATCTCAACTCTCTTTTCCTCCTTCAACCCACGTCATGGCGTCATCTCTACCGGCGTTATTCACAGACTTACAGAGAGCAACCATCGAGGGCAACGATGACCGTAGTCTCGAGCTTTGCAACGACATTCTTAAACAAAGCCCCAATGATCAAACAGCATTGCATTGCAAGGTGGTGACGCTTATTCGCTTGGGCCAGTACGATGACGCGCTTTCTCTCATTGCACGCAAGTTCAAGGGCACCGATGTCGACTTATCGTTTGAGAGAATCTATTGTTACTATCGCACCAACCAACTGAAGCAAGCACTCGAATTGTTGAATGACATCAAGGCAGCCAACGACACGACGAGCCCTGGTCTTTTATATCTCGAAGCACAGCTGGTAATATATACGTGGACGACTATCTAAGAGTGATACTAAGAGAGGGATGTATGGATATATAGTTGTATTCGCAAGACAAGTATGCTGAATGCATTGCTGTATACGAATCGCTTTTGGAGCAAACCAACAAGAATGATCCCATCTACGAGGAGATTCAAGTGAACTTGCTTGCCGCTCAAACGGGTCTCGCCTTTTCAGCACCATCGTCCTCATCCAAACCAGAGCCTATCGCTGTTTCCAATGAATCGCAATACGAGGTTGCCTATAATGCAGCATCACTTCACCTTGCAAGACTTGAATTGGACGACGCACGCAAGCAATTAGAGGTGGCAAGAAGTAAGTTTGTAGTAAGGAGAGGATCACGTGGAAACTGACATGTGGATGAATAGAGACATGCAATGCACGTTTGACAGAAGCGGATGTACCCCAGGAGGAAATCGATGAAGAGTTGGCAGTCATTGCAACACAATTGGCCTACACTTATCAGATCCAAGGCCGCGTGGAGGAAGCGATGGAGATCTATCAATCTGTATTGGGATCAAGGTAAAGTAGGGAAGGGTGGTTGATGTGTGGATTGAGGTATCTCATGTGTGCATTATGGCTATATATAGTACCGTGAAGGACATGAGCATCAAGGCTGTTGCATCCAACAATATTGTGGCAGTGCGTCAAAAGAAAAAGAATCTCTCTGATGCTGCACAAAAGCTGAAGATGGCCACGAGCAAGGAAGCTGATTCACGTTTGAAGCGATATCAAAAGCGTGTGATTGCTATGAATGATTCTTTATTGCAATTGTATATGAGCAAGGTAACGTCATGGATGAGTGAGGACGGGGTAAGGAATAGAATCATTGACAACATGGGTGTAGTTTGAAGCATGTCGGGATTCAGCACGCAAGTTGATTGCAACTTATCCTGAGAATGAGACGTTGTATCTTGTATTGGCAGCAGCAACTTACCAGCAACACAAAGGACAAGCTGCAGTTGAGGAATTGAAAAAGTATGCCGAGGAACATCCATCATCACTTGCAATCTGGTTCGCTACGATCCAAGTCGAGTTGTTGCAATCTCAACCAGCAGCGGCTTTGAGCACTTTGGAACAATACCTCTCACGTGTTGGTGAAAAGAACAAAAAGGAGTACTACCGACCAGCCGTTGTTGCACTATTGGTGTGGTTGTATGAGCAAACTGGACAATCCGACAAGGCAATGGAGCTTTTGGACAAGGCATCACAATTTTGGAAAACGGATGCAGACTTCAGCTCTGAGGCACCAACATCCATCATGAAACAAACAGCGGCATTCAAGCTAAAGACGGGACGTTATCAGGATGCAGTTACCGACTATGAGCAATTGGTGCGTGCTGATCCAACGGATGCGCAAGCCTTGGCTGGTTTAATTGCTGCCTATGTGGAAGTGGATCCTGCTAAAGCTGAGCAATATGGAAACTCGTTACCTGCTGTTGCATTGGATCATTTGGATATGTCGGCATTGGAGACGATGGTGCCAGGTGTTAAGCGTGGCTATGTGCGGAAACAAACCAGCAGGTAATTATTTGGGGGCTTATTGGGAACATGTGATGTGGGTGGAGTACATGGATGGAACGAGTTCTTGGGTAATAACTTGAGATGAATTGAATATTTTGTAGCACACGTACAAGAAAGCCCAAAACAAAAAAGAAAAGAAAACCATTGTTACCCAAGGATTATGATCCCGAGAAGACACCCGATCCGGAGCGCTGGATACCAAAACGGGAGCGTTCCACTTACCGCGTGAAGGGCAAAAATAAAAAGGCCGCTGGTAAGGGTCCACAAGGCACCTTCGTAGCCGGTGGCGGTATTGGCGGAACGGGAAGTGCTAACATTGGAGGCAGCCGAGGAACCGAAAGCTCGTCTTCATCACCCAAGGCTGAGACCAAGCCATCCAAGCCCGCAAGCGCTTCATCCAACAAGAATGCAAACAAGAAAAAGAAGAAAAAGGGTGGCAAGACCAAATGGTAGCTGTAGTAGAAGAATAGAATGGAATAAACTTTTGACACGTCTTTGTTTCTCTTTATACTCGTGTTACCATTGGTGCTGCGCCTCGCCATCGAGGCTCAATTGGACCAGTTATTTGTAGCGTAAAAGTGGTTGGTGGTTGTGCCTTGCACGCGTGGTATGGCTGGTATCACATTCTTATCCCTTTGATGCTTAGCAAGAAATCTTAATTCTTAGAATAGCCACAGCCCGCCGAGCAGCTTTTTTATTTGCTGAAACAGCTTGGCAAACGGACCACCGATCAGGCAAGTGTCACACGACAACTAAAACTCGCATGGCCACCAACCACCACCCACAACAACCCAATTCTTATAAAAGGACACCACGACGTGTCGTTTTCCCCGCCTTTCTTTAAATCTTTTCATACACAACACAATTTTTCAAAGCATGTGCTGCAAGAACCAAAGCCACGTTATCCACACCAACAACATCACTTCATACTCATTCTGTCCTCTTTGTGGCGTGGATGTATCCCAATTCTCTCATGAAGCCCATTGTCCTAACGCTCGACGTTAACCATGCAAGCCAAACCATAATCAATCCTCTTGGCACGTATATACTCAAGCATATCTTATCTTTCGGTGCCCCCGATCATCATCATCGTATATATCATTATCCATAACATTGCTACAAGCATACCATTGTTTCAGGTGTTCCTGGTGAACATGTTTTAGATAGAATGCTCTTTTGTTTTCACCACTACCATCCCCACACACACACACATGTATACCTCACCATGTTCATTTACCGCATACATATATTCGCATTCAATTTATCATCATTCTTATCATCATACCATACTATACATAAAGATGAACCTATCTACAACATCAAAAAGAAAGTGTGTCATTGTTCTTAATGCTTCCATGGATGAACATGCATATGCTGCGCAATGGTGCGTGCAAACATTGAAAACAAATTGCAATTGCAGTGACACGAGGACCTGTCAAGCACCAATCACTGCCGAGTAAATGTTACCTTAGTTTTTCGTTCCGGCTGTTCTTTGTTTCCCCTCCTCCCAC